TTGAAATTCCTCTTGAAACTGTACCATGCTATAAGTACCTTGGGGTGCACATCACTTCTAACATGTCATGGAAAACTCATACTGACCACATTATCGCCAACGCTAACTCCATGCTTGGTTACCTGAAGAGAAACTTTAGGTTAGCCCCAGTGTCCCTAAAACTACTAATGTATAAAACCCTTGTCCGTTCCAAACTAGACTATGCAGCAGCAATTTGGGATCCTGGTCTCTCAACTCTCGTGACTGATCTTGAAGCCCTACAGAATCGCGGTGTCCGTTTTATATTTACTATCATCGCACATCTAGTGTCTCAACTATGAAAACTAATTTATCACTTCCTGCTCTTTCATTACGCCGAAAAATATCTCGTTTGTGTCTTTTTTATAAAATTTATCATTCCAATACTCCGCTTAAAAACAAACTAATGTTAGATCCTGCTTTCATCTCGCCGCGCGTAGATCATCAATTTAAAGTCGGAATTCCCCATTGCATTACCTCAGCCTATTATAACTCTTTTATTCCAAGGACATCTTCAGAGTGGAATCGCCTTCCCGTGCAATTAGTAAACATACCATCCTTTGAGTTGTTTAAAAGTGCGTTGACTACTTACCTATGTTAATATCTCTCTTTGTTTGTTTGCCTTGTTTTATACATTTCTTAATTTGTTTACATATTTTTTTTTTACATTTTTCGTGCTTGGCTTTTAGTGTTCGTATATTGTTTGTGTTCCAAATTTGTCTTGTACCACTCCCCTCTGTAATGCCTCAGGACCTTGAGGGTACTTAAATAAATAAATAAATAAATATAGGTAGTATTCAAGAGTCGCTGAATACAGTGTCAGAATACCGCATTCCCATTCTATAATGCTTTACTGACCACAGTCTCACTCTAGCAGAGTGTGTTTTGATTTCCTGCAGCATCAATCGACAGCAGCAGTTACATGAGACGTGCTGTCACTATCATCACCGTTCCAAATTGCGACCACGAGCCACCATATTCTGGCCAGCCAGCTTTTGCTGCAACAATCCGGGTTGCTTCTCACCCACTTGGCGCCGTGATGCATTCTTTTTGGGGAATCGCATCCTAACGTTCCGGATTTCGTGGCTCGTACACGCCTGGTTGGTGTGCCTTTGAGTGCAGAAGCAGGTCAGAGAATGGCAAAAGGCTCTTCCGCTTCCTGTCAGGCAAGGACAATACAGCGAAGCGAAGGAGTGCTTGGATTACCATTATAAAACAAAAGAATTCCCTGTCTAATGCAAGAAGCAAGCTTTGTGAAGTAAGTATATTCCAGAGGTTCTTTCCTCGTATAGCAATTGCCTCTCAGCCGATCAGGCTGCTTCTACTGAGCTTGGTTCGGCAAAAACAATGCTTGGAAGAACGGCTGTTTCTGAATAAGAAATCGATTGCAGTGCTTTTGATTCAAATTGCTTCGCTTCGTACGAAGCGTGAAACCACTGTCAAGAGAGTAGCCTTGCATGCGAAAAGGGAAGCACAAATGTCCGGGTGACTCATAACACAATTTAAGCAGGCTTTTGTGTGAATAAACCCTCAGGTGGTTGTCGTCTTAATTTTTTTTGTTGATTACATTGACGTTTTTCTGCCTTGTGGTTGGCAAAAAAACAAACAAAAAAAACATGAATGAAGCCACGACAGCACAATCTTAGATAGGCATGTCACTTGATGCCCTGAGTGAAAGATGCATCTTGATCCTCAGGTAGCATGAATATTGACACCAACACCCTTCGTGTTACACCGGCTTAGAGAGTCACTGATTTCATATCAAGCCATTCTTGTAACTCACCGTCAGTTCCATTTTTCTGCATCAACTATTTCAGTGATGGAAGCGGCATTTGACCTTTTGTGGCAGGTTCTGTAGCAGGCAAAATATTGGTTTGAAGCAGCCACTGACATTTTTGGAGCAAGTGCTTACATCTGTCAGCACATCACTTGAGAATGAAAAAGTGATTGCATCTCAATGAGTTAATTTATGATAGCCAATCAAGGGTACCTCTTTGATACTCAAGCGTATTACCTATTACCGTATGTAATAAGAGTAGATGGAGCATAAAAGATATACAGGAGGTTTCATTTACAATGTGTATTAAAGAATCATAGTGCAACAGCTCACTGGGATAAATCCTCTATCCCTTCTCAATTTTACACTCGGTTTAGTTTGTTTTGTCTGTAAACATAATTTCTGTAAAATGCCAGCAAGAAGAACCAGCATATCCACTAACGAGTCTACCAATAAAAATGTGTCCCATAAGTTTAATGAACCTATCAAACTCAAGACTCTAATATCATAAAATGCAAAAACAACCACCCAAAAATATTGTAAAAGCCTACACTTGCGCTCTAAAAGTGACACTGCTCTTTAGCGGCATTAGGAACCAGAGTTACGTCAAAGTTTGCTGCTCTTTCGATCGACAGCTGCAAGGGAACTACCGTAACTACAGTATTTATTCAAATCTATATAGACCCTTGTTTTCCCTCTCTCTGCTGTTTTTTTAGTTATTTTTTTTTTAATTTAGAGATTAACTTACAATTAGGACGAAGAAGTTCAACCCGTAATAATCCTGAGCATAAGTTGCGCTAAGCCAGGCACTCCCCCAGGTCAGTCGCTGCTTCTAGCGCTCGGGTGCAAAGCGGTGAAGCTCGACGCGCGCACGCTGGTGAGAGGCGGTGAAGGATGATGCGTTCTGGCACAAGTGCCACGATACTCTGCAGTCACGGAAGGTAGGCATGTGGCAGACAGGATAATCGAGCCATCTTAGCAGGAGTACAAGACCCTGGTTCTGTTTTAGCGCAGTAACCGCAATCGGCAATCCTACTATTTTATAAGAAATAAGAAACCCACAAACTGGCTGGATCCAGACGCGGCCGACATTCGCATGTTTGCGCTGCTCTGCGTATGCTGTATCTTCGTCGTGCTTTGCAGGCTCCAACTGGACAACTCATTAGCTCTCGACCATTGTGCCAAGCTGCAGAGCTCGGTGCACGTTGCCAGCCCCTTTCCCTCAAGCTTTTCCGCATGGACATCTACTAGGCCTAGCTTGGCAACGGCAACGGAACACTGGCACATCTGCTAACCGCGACACCGACCGTCTCCTGCCAGGACAACGGGACACCGACCGTCTCCTGCCAGGACCACGGGACACCGCTTCAACTTTCACACCGTTTGCATTCGTTTACTGGCTGGCGACACTCCAACGAACCCTGGGCCGCAGCAGAATTCCTGTGCAAGCTGCACGAAGCGGGTGCGGGACAACCAGGCAACCATCCGCTGCGACTCGTGCGACCGATGGTTCCACCGCGGCTGTGTTTACATGTCACTGAGCGATTACCGCAAGATAGGTAAAGAAGGCGACTTATGTTTTTGACTAGTGTGTTCGCTGCCACCACTCTCGGACGACTTGTTCAAGACGCCTGGTGCCCCTGACCCTTCATCTCCCACCGTGCCTCGCATGACCTTTCTCTGGTGCTGCAGTAGCAAGAAAAACTGTTTGTGCGGGAGTCCTGAAGGAGCCCCGCAGAAACAGCTCCGCATTTGTAAAGAAGGATAGAAGTAGAGGAACGAGGCTCTAATCCAGTTTGGAGAAAAGAAAGAGGGTTTCAATCCAGGGTGTAAATACTGATAGTAGTAAAAGAAAAAGATGGCCACAATATAGTTGACAGTTCAGCAGTTGTCTATTTTTGTGTTTATTAATGTTGAGCTGGCACCACCCAAGAGTATGAACCTACTAGCTCAACTCCAACCAGTAGTAGGGTCCATAGGGTGTTGGAATGGCGAATGCAGCTGCAACTTGTAGTCCACTAGGCAACCTGCCAACGAGTGCTGCATTGCACAAACCAGAACCGTATATGGGGAGAGTTTGGCCAGTCTATGATATCGCCGCCGTAACGCCCCCGTCCTGAGTGAGCCAATGAGCCTGCTGCGCAAAGTGAGAAGCACGATTGCATGCGCGCCAACTCCTGGCTGTTTTTAGCTGAGTGGGAAGGGCCGCCATTTTTATTCATTTGCCCAGTGGAATGCATGAGATAGACATCCAAATTTCGGTTCTTTGCTTTTATTTGGCAGGCTCTGGCATGAAAATTATATAGTGTTATTCCTCGGTGAACTCTCTTCACGCTTGAACGCAAACTTGTAGTCGGGGGAAAAAGAAATAAGCTTGTAGCAGACAACACATAGCCTCAACACTGTCAACAGGTGTCAACAGCGTGTTGCATCAAAATGTCGGTCGTCTCTTTGCTCACTTCTTTTGTGCTTGCTCCTTCGGCCCTTTCCTTCACTTTTCTCCTCTCCAGCGTCTTCGTCGCCACACCCACTGGCGAGACACTCCCAATATACGGCTCTGGCCCAAACCACATAAAAGTTTATCATCTAAGTGTGCGCCTCTTCTTGACGGTCGTGAAAGATGCGCTTTTTCGTCCTGAAAACTCTAACTGCCGAAGTAAAAATTGATATGCCACTATGACTTGGGATATTGCTGCGTCCATGGCCCAGAAGGAACGCTTCTTCGTACTTCTAGAATATTCGTGTTTACCCTCACCCGGAGCCTAATAGATAAAGCCATAATGACCTTGCCGAGTCGGGCTCGCCTCAGCTCACACCTGAACATTCTACGTTGAATTTTTCCATCCGTGATAATTAATTATTTCCTGCTTGCGGAAAACAAAGTATCAGAAACGAGGTAGAAACGCATGTGTGCGTTTTCCTTCCCACCGTCACACACACAAAAAATCTAAACAGCTGTTGTTGTTTTTTTATTATTATTGCTATTATAGCTAGTTGCGCGAATGTGGAGGAAACTCTTGAAATAAGGCGGGCAACTAACCCCTGCCAGCACCGCTCGCAACTCGTGGACTGGTTCGGCGTAGTTCGGCCCACTTTCGTTTGCGATAGGAAAGCGCCAAAAGGCACCGCTTCCGAAACCGTCGTTTCGAGGCAAAGCTTTGGCCAAGTGTGCGGGATCGCGATCGAAAGCGGATGGCCGACTCACCTGTTCGAGGATTCTACGGATGCCCTCCCTGGGAGCGTCGGCATAGTTGGCCGGATCTTCGGAGAGCAACTTCATGAGCCGCACTCTGCCGCTGGGGCAGCGCGCGTACACGTCCGTGAACGTTCCACCACGATCGATAGCGAACTGAAACTTCGGAAAAGCAGACATCACTTGTCACAGCAGGTACACAAGGACAAGCGTCACAATGAGTGCAAACGGGCGTTTGCTAGAGCGAGTAACGGTGGTTCACGGGGAACACCGGACAACACATGTGCGATGAAACTGAGCGCCAGGGCCGCAGGACTGAAGGTGCCTAGAGTTAAGGGTGTTTTCAGGTGTTCCACCGGGGTCACGTGGTTTGTGGGCCGCGTGTGCAACACGGGCCCACGAGCTGCAAGGATGTGGTAAAATCTGCGTCTCCCCTTTCCGCCTGCTCCACAGCTTACCTCCTCCCTGTGCGAACGCAACGCATGCGCACTTACAACCAACAGCACCACAGGCGTCCGCTCTCAAGGGTTCAAGTTGATCCCTCTCTTAAATCTAGAGTCTCTAGCAGGCTTTTAAGCGCAAATAGATAGATAATAGACACTAACGGCTGCACTCTTTATAACGAGCGGTAGCTTGCGCTATCTATCATCAAAGTTAAGAACAAACAGTAAATATCACCAAGCGTTGTGGGACAGCGTTACTAAAGGTCATTTTATCCAAATGGAGGTCAATTTAATCAAAGTGCCATTCAATTTATTCCGAGCGTCGTTAAATTTAATCCCAGCGCTATCCGATTTAATCCGGGGGTCGATCAATTAAATCCATTATATATACATGCCCGCTTTTGTCATCAGTGGTTGTGTTTCGCTTACACTTTTGATAAAATCGAATAATTATTTATACAGTTAAATTCTTTTGAGGACCACACATATATTGATGATCATTTCGATCATTTGAAGTTATTAGTCGCACTATTCACATGTGGCAGGGGGGGTTAAGGTGGGTGAGGAAGAGGAGCGAATCCCGTGCGCCGACACCCGGGGTCCCGAGTAGGGGTGTCGCGAACCGGCCGCGGTTCGAGTTCGACCAGGTTCGACTTTTTCGAACTTTTAGTGGAAAGTTCGACGAACCTTGTATTGAGGTTCGACTCATGTGCGCATGCGCGACAGGCTGGCCAGTTGGCTTCGGATGGGATGGTAATGGCTAAGAGATGAATTAAGTGCAGCGCTGATTGGCTATTTCAGTCAACACAGTACTAAAAATTAAGTTATTAACTTATTCAGTGATTAGAATTAGTTTCTTTTAATTGCAGCTGTTCACAAAATAAAATAACCCCTTGCATAAAAAAAAATTCTCCAAACTTATGGCGAGTTCGTTTCACGGCACTCGTGCCCACGCGTGCCCACTCGCAGCGTGGATCGGGTTCGTTTCGGCCGGCACTCCACGAGTGGTTGCACTCTTCGAGTTCGTTTCAGCACTGACACCCCACGCGTGCATGCACTCGCTGCACCGAGAAAATCGGGAGTGCGCCAAAATGCAATCCCGTCATGCCTCGCTCCGGCGGGGCCGGTGAGGAGCGGGAGCAGACGACGAGGGTTCGTCTGCTACGATGTGTCGCGGAACCGAACGGAAAAAGAAAAAAGTAGATTTTCTGATAGAAATCGCGTCCCGCGGGCAACGAAATCAAACGCGAGCTTGAATTGTGAGCGTCTGCTATTTCACGAAGGAAGCAATTGACAATCCGTGATTTATTTGCAGGTTTTAAATCGCTCTGTTGCCGTACAAACGCTGAAATATACCACTGTGTAAGTAAATGCTCAGAACAAACGCACCCGCGGCCCCCGAGATGTCTATCACCATCCGCGTGCGGGTGAAAAATTTAATATTTGTCGACACAACTCCCCCAGCAGAAACCTCTGACTGCCTAATAAGCATCAGAGAAAGCTAAAGATGGTGACTTTACCCGAGGATTGGGCAACATCATCATGTTTAACATTTACCTATACGTCAGCCAACTTGCCCCGTCATATTTTGTTTGAGAAAGCTCTCGTTCTCGACGCCCTCACTAAGGCTGATATCTAATCCACCTATAATGACAATCCAAATCGAAAGTCCCAGTGCTGGATATTCAAACAGGCTAATTCTAAGCCGTACCCTTTGAGTGGTTCACGCATAATACCATGCTCAAACGGATCAAGCTCCTGCTCGGACAGCATCATCAGTTTTCTTCAGTGTAAACGGTTATAAGAATTGAAAGATAGCAACCAGCTGTTTTGTAGACAGCTGGTTGCGGAAATTTACGCCGTCTGTAACTATCTGTAAGGCAGCCGAGCTGCTTGAAGTTATCGCAACTATAAACTACAGATTTCAGCGACCAACGTTTGTAGATAAACGTTGGTAGCGACTACATTCTCACATTCCCACGCATCACTCCGAACAGAAAGGCGCTAGTTTCGGTTTGAAATCGGTACCTTTTCTACAACATAGATGGCGGCAGCATCAGCCTTCTGCACTCGGTGCATTTGGCGAGTTCGTTTGAGTCCAGTTTTCCATGCAACACTCTGCGAGTGCGATGCATTCTGGGAGAGAACTCGAACGGTGCCAGTGCGAGTGAAACGAACTCGCTATTAGACATGCTTGTATTAAGGTCTGGCCACACTGTCCATAAGGTCGAACCGGTCGAATCTGGTGAAAAGGTCGAAGGTTCGTCGAACCGGTCGACTAAGTCGAACCCCGGAAGTTCGACCAAAAAATCTGGTTCGACAAAAGTTCGCGACACCCCTAGTCCCACTGATCTCAATAGAGATCAGTAGGGGTGTCGCGAACCGGCCGCGGTTCGAGTTCGACCAGGTTCGACTTTTTCGAACTTTTAGTGAAAAGTTCGGCGAACCTTGTATTGAGGTTCGACTTGTGTGCGCATGCGCGACAGGCTGACCAGTTGGCTTCGGATTGGATGGTGATGGCTAAGGGATGAATCAAGAGCAGCGCTGATTGGCTCTTTCAGTTAATACAGTACAAAAAGAATTAAGTTATTAACTTTTTCAGTGATAAGAATTGATTTCTTTTAATTGCAATTGTTCATAAAAAAAATAACCCATTGCATAAAAAAAAAAATTCTCCAAACCTAGACATGCTTGTAACAAGGTCTGGCCACAAACTCCACAAAGTCGAACCGGTCGAATCTGGTGAAAAGTTCGAAGGTTAGTCGAACCCCGAAAGTTCGACTTAAAAATCCGGTTCGACAAAAGTTCGCGACACCCCTAGAGATTAGGGATGTCGCGAACCACCCTAGGTTCGATTTCGAAAGGTTTCGATATTTGCAAAGCGAACTGAGGTTCGATTTCGAAAAATTTCGATATTTTCGTACCAACCGAGGTTCCATTTCGAAAAATTCGCAACTTTTGACCACAGCGGAGTTTCGAATTCAAAAATTTCGAAGCTTTCACGGTTTCTAAAATTTCGATTTCGAATATTTCGAATATTCTTTTACTTCAGGTTCGATAAATTCGAAGATCTCGAAATTCTTTGTCAAAAAAATTCGAAAACTTCGAACGCTTCGAATTTTTATAGACATGAAGGTCGAACAATCGAAGATTTCGAATTTCTTTTTGCATAAAGTTCGAAAAGTTCGAAGGTTTCGATTCTCTTTTAACGCTAAATTAAAAAAAAAAAAAAAAAAAAAAAAACTTTGAAGATTTTGAATTTCTTTCTAATCCAAGTTTTCAAAGTTCGAAGTCCGATTTTCAAGTTTTTCCACAGTTTCAGTTTCAAATAACGTTTTCACGACTCACTGGTTTTCACGAAATCAAGTTTAGAAAAGTTAGGGTGTGATATCTAGATTCTGCGAAGTGGGTCAGGCAATTAAATGAGACGACGAGTGTCCCGGACGTGCTAGAATATTTGCCAGTGCAGAATTGTGCCTGCCAGCCCCGGGGGGGGGGGGGTCTTTAACCTGCATCACGCAGTAGTGATTGCACGAACACACTGTTTTACGAGACTCATCCAGTTCGAAAGGCCAGGGGCGAGCAGGAGGTTGAGGCTCAGAAAAACCTTGAAGCGACCTGGCAAACTACCTCGCCACCCCTTGCACGCTGGTAGTAATCCGATCCGGTGAAGTTTATAATTGTCCTGGAGGTTTATTTTCTGGGACGGAGGATTCGCCTCGCAAAAAGCACAAAAGCCGACACAACTCGAGGTCGAGGAGCGTTCTACCATACAAGTGGCGTCGGAAGAGGAAAAACGGGGGGAAAGAGGGTAGCGGGGGGGGGGGGGGGGGGGGGGGGGGGGAAGGGGGGTTTTAGCCTCCTTTTCCCCTTTGCGAGTATTTCGAACTGTTAAAGAAAACAATACGGGGAAAGAGGGCGTGGTCGAGCTTATTTGAATCTGAAACTATCTATGCATATGTATAGCTACTGTCACTCTTCACTGCATAAAAGGTTGCGTAGATGGTCATTGTTAGAAACTCGTTGTCAGAAGGCACTGCTCGTCACATGCTTAGTGGTTCGGAAGTTCAAAGCTGTCTTTTCAACCTAAACACCTGTGCCGATAGTAACAAAAAAAAAAAAAAAAAAAGAATAAATGCGGGAATGAAGAGCAGGAAAAAAAAAAAAAACTATCAAGAATTCGTCGGAAGTGTTCTATTCTTGCATATTCGGAGGTTCAGAACTTCGAAACAACTTTCTTTTACCAAAATGTGTACAGGCTAAAAGAAACACGTCCCAAGAACGTGAAGCGAAAAAAAAAAAAAGTTTTCTTTTAATGACGTGCTGAACTTGAACTCTATTAGAAATCTTCTCCCATGAGTTAATTTATTCCTTAACGTGAAAAAACAATAAATATATTATTTCGTATTCTGCAGATGGCAATGATATGCACTGTCTGTGGTGTTAATTTAAATGCGATACCTCAAACAACTTAGACGAAAATAAATATCAAGTTTAGGTTATAATTGTAATTGTAATTGTAATTGTAATTGTAATTTATTTGCACAAGAAGTATGATGTATATGCGACGACGTGCGAGGCTAGGCAGAAAGGTAACAACCCTTACGCTTGTGCGCCTGCTAGCCGGTCGCCGCATACACCGTGGATGAGGGGAAAGGAAAAGGGGAAAAACAATTTGGGTAAATATAAATAGTCAAAACAACAACAACAGTGGTCAGTGGTTATGGTGCCGCAGCTCATGAGGCGTCCGACACCACTTGACGGGAGAAGAGCCTTGACGGGAGAATCAAACATGTATCTGCATTGCATGCAGATACATGTTTGGACATTTCTTCGAAACTCACGTTGAATAACAATAATCACATCTTAAGACGGCACTTACCTAGGCTATACATAGATCATTCTTAAAAAAAGTATAACACATCTACCATAAATAGCTCCGGCTGCAGCGTGCTTCAAATCTGGCACAAACGATAAT